TGAAAAACTAAAGATTAATTATTCTCAAGCATTTAATATATTTTCTCTTTTTATCTCAAAAAAAAAAATATATATTCTTCATATTTATGATAAAAAATTCATTCGTTTGAATAATTTTTTGTAATATAATTAAGATCGTGCAAATAATATGATTATAAATTGGATGCTAACTTTTTTTTTTTTTATTCAACTTCGTAGGCGTAATTATTCTAAAAGAAATGAAATAAACAGTATGATAGAATAAGGACAATGGAGGCACGTGATAGATTGATATGAATATCATGAACTGTCCATAATAAAATCTGCTGTTGAGATATGTTTCGTGGTCTTAGAAAATTAAATTATAATTTATATTAATAATAATAATAATAATATAAAATAATAGTAATTTTGATGATAGTATTTGGATTGCATAAAATTGGAAAAACATTTAATTAAAATGATAACGAGATGGGGAGAAGAATATTGATGGGGCGGTGGGCCAGCGGTGGGCCAGCGGTGGGCCAGCGGCGGTTGTTGGGGGGCGGTGGAACCCATCGGAGATGAGATGACTCCAAGAGATCACATTAAAGAAAAACTTTTCATTTTCCCCCCTTTATTTTTTACTTTTTCATCTTTCCCACTTTGGAATATTCCTTAATTCTATAACTCCCCCTTTAAAATTGAAATATTAAATCTTTTTTACCCTAACTAGCTTTTTCTTTTCATTTTTCTCTACCTATTTAGTAATTATTTTATTACTATTTTTAAAAAAAAATTGGGAAAGAAAAAACAATAATAATAATAAACCAATTAGTGATGATGGCAACCGGTTGATTTGTTTTTATTGGGTTGAAAATTCAGCACCATAGATTTTAGGCCACATGTTTGATTGATTATTTTTATATATTATATACTTTTATGAAAGGGTGTGACAATTTTATTTTATGATTGAAATAAACATAAAAAGAATAATAAATAAAATTATACCATAAGATTTGGTCACTTTCGCTAGAAAAATCTATTCCTCGCATTATAATTAATAAAATAAATGGTATATTTTTAAAAAGCAAGTAAAAAAAAAATGATGGTTTTATTAGATTTGCAGTCTTTTCAAGATAACCCTTTATTCTTAAGGTAGATTTAGATGAGATATGGATATTTAAAAAAGAAAAAAAAAATAGAATTAACAGTGTGACCTATAAAGTAAGGTAACCTAAAATCATGTACCTTAATTAAGCATCTTGAAATGGGAGCATCATGGCCGTCCATTTTGAGAATCAGATGGCTCCACTTGCATGGATCCCTTTGGGATGAGCACATATACTTCATTAAATCTTTCTTTTTCCTTTCTTTCTTAGGGTATCTATTTTGTCAATGGAGGATATACATACAGCCTGTGAACATCTGGTTCTTCCCCCCTCCTTATTTCCACTTTCATATAAACATTAATCTTATCAAAAAAATTAAAAAAAAAAAACGATATCTTATTCACATTTCTATCGGCTCGAGAGCTCAAAATGGTTAAATTTGATCTACGAGACTATGTTCGGTTACCCATCTTAATTGATTGTCATTATCATTTTTAATCATACCTAAATGTTGATAATTTTTTTTAGCTCACAGATATAATAAGATATGATTCATTAAAAACACAATAATTTATATAATTGACTTTGTAGAACATTTGAAGTCAATCATGATATTAAAGGAGTGATGAATATAATCTAAAATGGTTGAGATATGTAATATTTAGATATATGATGTATTAAAATACCATATGCATCTCGCTTCTTCTATCTAATTTAAATGCTTAGTTGGAAGGAAAATAATTTTTTAATTTCAATGTCTATAACAACCCATGTGACATATCGGTCCTCTCTCGACAATAATTTTTATCCTATGATATTCGAGGCAAGCTTTTAAGCTTCTTAGCTTAATAGATTCTTTACTTGGTCTCATTGAGCTTTTCTTAGGCTTCTTGGGTTGCACATGTAATAGCCCAACTCCACTACTAGACACATCACTCGATGTCTGGTTCTAATACCATTTGTAACAGTCAAAACCTATCTCTAGTAGATATTGTCCGCTTTAGTCGATCACTATATACTTTTACAAAAAAAAAATTGATTTTTTTTATATTAATTTTAATGTAGATCTTTCTATAATTAATTTATTTTAAGGTTCACAAATTTTAATTACATCATAAGCCACATATATGTATACCATTGGCACTACAAAAATGGAATCATGATCTTAATCATTGATTCCTTATTCATCTTCATTAAAAATCACAATTAAAGTTCCTAAAAAGATAGAGTGCAAGGATTCTTGATTTGTTATTATATATATATATATATATATATATATATATATAATTAATGTCGGTAAATGAAATTTTATTTTAGTCTTTACACTTTCGTACTCTACCCATGCTTTAATTAATTTTTTCATTTTTTTTTTGTTTTGATCTTTAAATTCAAATTTTTTCTTTCAACTTTTAGACTTTATTATAGAAATTATTATTAAACTTGTGTCATTTGACACGTCTAAAGTTACTACAGTAACGTGTCTATAATAACATGTCTCAAAATTCAAACTTTTTTGTATTTTTCTATTCGTCTATTTTTAGTTTATTTATATCAAATCACCACGGTATAAATTTATTAAAATAAAATAAATAAATAAAGCTTTAACTATAAAACTCAATAATTAAAATTTAAAAAATATATATATAATTACAAAAGCAATAAAAAGGATGATTTATTTTATTAAATATTCAAGACTATCGACTCAAATTGAAGTTCCCAAGTAAGCTACTTTTTTTCCCCTTTTTTTGGGTTTTATTTTTCAAAGATTTTGCCAACTTTATATCTTTAGAAAAAAAATATACATAAAGATGGAATTTAAAGTTGGAGTAATTGTGATGACGTGGATATATATATATATATATATATATATATATATATATATATATATATATATATATATATATATATACCATTTTAATTACAATAAAATTTGTAATGCCCTAATTACTCACCATCTTCTTTTTTGTCTGTCTGACCTCCAAGAGAGAGACAGAGAGACACAAAGGGGCAAAGGCATCTTTCAACATGATCCTAGAGAGAGAAGGCAAAGGCATCTTTTAAGATAGGACGAGATAATAATATTCTAAATCAGTTGAGTTATACACAAAGTGACTTAATATCATAATTGTTAGCGATAAACATACATGTCAATGCAATAATAATTCAATTCGTTTATGAGTATCTTGTACTGTATGTCGATCATAATCTAATATCAATAGTAAATCTGTAGATCCATTTATGAACTGACACATATTTTAAGACATTTTTGAATATGATATAAGAATGGAAAAGGAACGATAAGAAAGCAAATAAGAGGTCAAAATGGAGTAGGGCCACAAAAGATATTGATTCATATCTCTCAAAAAGCCATAAACCCCTTTCCAAAAGCAATCTCAGATATGGGATTTTAGGTCGGAGATAAGAACACACATGATTTTCTCTTTTCTTTTCTGTTTTTTCTTTTTAAATAATTAAAACCCAAATAAATAAATAAATAAAAATGGTGTTGTGTGTATATTTTATGTGCATGGATTTGCATGGATCATAGGCAACAACTTCTGCCTTTGCTGTTGTTTTGGCCTAAAAGTGTTCGTGTCTTCCTTGCAAAAATAATTTGTTGGTTTGGTTCATTGTTTCTCAATTATTTGCTCAACAATTTCAACCATGTCTAGTTGTGATTTGGTCTGCAATGTCTCACAAAATCTTAGTCGATGTTGGTGAACATATCTTTTAAAAGATTGAGGTCGTGATTTCATCAAAGGATTCCGAGTCATAAATTGGGTCATTAAAAAAAAAACCCATTTTTTAGTCTATAAGCTTGAAAACGTGTTAGCACAGATCTCCTAGCTCAATTAGCGGCATATGTCTCATCATATATGTCTAAGAGCGAGAGTTATCCTCAAATTGTTATTAATCGACCACCTATAAACAATCAAATTTTTGGATTATAATCCTCAAATTATAACTAAACAAAGATAATAATTTATGAACGAAAATAGTATTGGGAAAAGAACCAAAACAATTAGCCCATGGGCCTAAGAGTACAAAGTTCTCGATGCTTAATTAGAAAAATATTTTAAATGCTTTTTGCTTCCTTCAACGTTTGGAATATTATATATATAATTTTATTTTAAAAAATGTCTAATAAGTATTTTTTTTTTTTTTATCCCACCCTCTTAAAAATTAGATAATGAAAGCTCGTGCTAGTTCTCGAAAGGATGCTAATAGATATTTTTTTTTTCAACTATCGAAACCATTATTGAGCTGATCCTCTAAGCCTACTCCAAGTCCAACTCATTCTGATGCTGAACTTTTTTAGTGATTAAATCATAGAAACTTGAAAGTTAAACGTGTTTTGCTTAGAGTAATTTTATGTTGGATGACTTGAAAATTTCATCAAGGAATACGTGAGTGAGGAAAAAACATGTTGAAAAGACCTATGTTGGTTTATTGGGATACTCTTCACTCTTAGAAGCAAGATCATATTACAAAAGATGTAGAAGAATATCGGGATCATCAGGTATCGAATTTTAAACACGTAAGTCATTAAAAAATATGTCAATACAATAGTCCTAAATGGTTAAACCGAACATTTAATACTTACCTTAAAAAAATTTCAATTAAAATTCATTAAATTCGTGTTTGACAAGATAAGCAGCCAACATATAAGACTTATGGGACGGTGGGTCAAAATTTGTTGAAATTATATGCATATATGTCTATATATGTTTATAACATAGTGATTTAATAATATATTAAATCATTTTAACAATATTTTTCAACCTAATTAATGCTTTTTTTTTAATATATGATTACCTTAATTAAAGTATGAAGTCGTGTTATACACGCGCTTTTTATGCGAGTGAGAACGCTATGATATTTAGAATAATATCTGTACGACCAAAACGTAACTATCGACAAAAAAAAAAAAAAAAAAAAATATCTAAACTCAATTATTTACTCTTTGAGGGAAAAAAATGTCTGACACTGTTCCAAAAGCCCAAGAACCTTTCCCCTTCTTCCTCTACCCTTTTCCTCCGCCGCTACGATTCTCCGGACACCGTATCCGCCGCCGTGGGGATTCCTCTGTTTGTTTTGATGAGTTGGAGGTTGTAATGGCGACACTCCAAGCCCCCCCGTCCGTCCACTGGCACTTCACGGAGCTCGACGATCGGATCTTCCAAATCCGCGGCCGGACTATCTTCTTCATCGCCGTTCTATTCGCCGTCATCCTTCTCGTGACTTTTATTTTCCTTTACGCTCGATGGGTCTGCCGATACCATAGCCTCATGACCTTCTCTACTGCCGTCCCTGGCGTCCGGTCGTCCAGGTCGCCGCCGCAACAGGGGCTCGACCAGGCGGCAATTAACTGCCAGCCAATAACTTTGTACAAGGAGGCGGCGGCGGTGGAGGAAGCAGCCGCCACCCCCGCCGCCACCGCGGCGGAGTGCTGTATTTGCTTGGGTGTGTTTGAAGATGGGGAGAAGGTTAAGATTCTGGCGCTGTGCCATCATTGTTTCCACTCGGAGTGCGTGGACCAGTGGCTCCGGTTGCAGTCGAGCTGCCCGCTTTGTCGCATCTCCCTCCGCGCCGCCGATAACTCAAACAATCTTCAAATGGTGTGAGGTTACATAATCGAATTCAAAGATTTGAGTCCATAGATTACTGTAAATTTAGTCAAATCCTGCTTTAGTAATAATTAATAACAAAGTGTAAATTTTATTGTTTTTGTATTATATTTTTATTAATATTTTTGAATAATGCTAAGAATATTTACAAATCTGATTGAATATTTGGAGGCATGTTCGTAAATAATGTAGGTATCCTTTTCAACCGTAAATTTGAGTTTCATTTTGTGAGATCCCACCAAATGTCATGGGAGTTAAACAACAGATTATGTGCTAGTGAATACGTTGGCCCCAAAGAAATGAATTGTGAGATCCAAATTAGTTAGAAGAAGAACAAAACATTTCTTAGAAGAGTGTGGAAATCTCTCCATGTTTTAAAACCGCGAGGCTGACTATGTATAGACGTGTTTTAGAACAAAACATGTTTTAGACGTGGGCTTGAGCTATACATTAGGATAGTTTTGATTAGAATGAAATTCCATTTTTACCCTTTTGTTTTCTCTTGGATTTTATTTAATTAAAAAATGCCCTATTAAAAGTAAACATATGCCACGTGGACTACATGCGAAGGAAGCACTATAACAAGAACATAACTTTTAAACGTGAATAGATTTGTATTTCATATTTTTGTAGCGGTTGAATATGTATTTTGTAATATAATTAAAATTATGAAAACAATCAAAATTCTCACATAAATATGGGTTCACAATTTTTAAAATAATAAGAAATTTAATATATTCGAAATATTGAACCGAGTCTGAAAAATAAAATATAGTTTTAACTCGTTAAAATATCGTCACCTATTTAAAAGATCAACTTTCAAATTTGAAAAAAAAAAAATTATTTTTAATTTGGATTTTATTTTAAATTTTTTTAATTATTGTTTTACCAGACTAGTAAAAAAAAATCATATAATTATTACCAGAAAAAGTGAAGAAAAATAGAATAACAAAACGTGAAAATTACTTCAACGTATTAGAGAAATAAATGATTTTTTTTTTTTTTTCAAAAGGAAATGGGAGAAAAGTGTAAAGACCAATTTACCCTGCCGACTGACCGCAATGTCCCGGCCTGAAAAGGGAAAGATAGATGATCGATAACCTACTGCGTGAATTCCATTCATCTCAAGAGCTTCCGATCGTATTTCTTGAGATATTTGAAGTTTATGGCTGGGGAGGTGCTGCTGTGGGCGTTGATCATAGCTCTCGTTGCCATAATTCGAAGAATTAGTTTAGGAATTCTGAACAGCCGTCGGAACCGGAAGAGAGCAGTCGGATTCTTCCATCCCTACACCAACGATGGAGGAGGCGGTGAGAGAGTTCTGTGGTGCGCCGTCAAAGCTATTCAGGATGAAAACCCTAGCCTTGAATGCGTCGTCTTCACTGGCGATCATGATGCTTCACCAGAGAGCTTGATGGCTCGTGCTGTCGATCGATTTGGTGTCAAGCTTCTTTTTCCACCCAAGGTGATTTGTTGTCTTTCTTTGAAATCGCCGCCCCAGATGATGCATATTTCTAGAATAATCTAGTTTGGAATCATTTGTGCAGTTGAATCTTCTTGAAGCGAGTTTCTACATCATTTTCCCTCTTTTCGTTTCACTGAAACTATGTCCGATTCACTGGTGTTGCTAAGGAAATTCGATTTACTCTTCTTCTGTTCAATTCATTTATTGCTCAGGTCGTGCATCTTTGTAAAAGGAAGTGGATTGAAGAAACAACTTATCCTCGCTTCACCATGATTGGTCAGAGTTTTGGCTCTATCTATCTCTCATGGGAGGCCTTATGCAAATTCACTCCTCTGTATTATTTTGACACTAGTGGATATGCTTTTACTTATCCCCTTGCTCGGTTGTTCGGTTGCATTGTTGTTTGTTATACACATTATCCGACAATCAGCTTAGACATGCTATCTCGGGTTCGTGGGAGGAGTTCTATGTATAACAATGACGCCTTAATTGCTAAGAGGTCTGTTTCTTAACTTCTTACTAGAAACAATGGATGTCCTCAAAGTTATTTATGCTTCTGGCCTTAATGTTTTTGGTGTGCAATCACCTAATTTGTCCCCTAATATTGATATCAGGAAGGACTTCTAGAAAGCCTAGATGGTTAGCAATAAATTTGTACTCTTTTCATTTGATGTTGAATTTATGTGATAGCAAGTTCTACTTAATTGGATTCACTTTCCCCCAACTTTTTATGTTCTTTTTTCCTTCCTGTTTCCTTGGGCTGGGACATGACTACTCATCTGTAGTATAACAACTGTGAATTTGGTGCTTTAGCAATCTTATTTTCCATATCCGTTTTGCATGTTCTGAGTCATCTGACATGATGATCTTTTAGTCAATATAATTGCGTTTGTCTCATGGAGAACTTTCTAGCAAATATTGTGTTCTTTAATGTTGTGTGTAACAAGTCTTCTCTGTGGCAGCTCGTGGCTTTCTCAGTGCAAAGTTATCTATTATGTTCTTTTTAGCTGGATGTATGGATTTGTGGGCTCATTTACACAACTTGCGATGGTCAATTCTTCATGGACTCAATCTCACATCGAAAAACTATGGAGAATTCCTGACCATATAAAACGAGTCTATCCCCCATGTGATACTTCTGTATTACAGGTCTGTCCTCTGGTTTTCCCTGAAGAAATTTTGTTGGGTTTTATTTGCTCGTAGTTTTCAGTTCTCTCTCTCCCTTCATTCTTCTCTATTGATGAGTTGACTCCAACAGCTGCGTATAACATGTTGGTATCTGCACAGGCACTTCCTTTAGAACGACCCACTAGAACTCCCATAATTATATCTGTTGCTCAATTTCGTCCAGAAAAGGTGGGCCCTCTTATATGAACCTTATAATCCAAGGTACTAAAATTCTATTGGCTCATTCTTAGGGCCTTCAGCAGTTAGCTAATCTTTGATGACTGAAATTGATCATCTCAGGCGCATTTACTCCAACTTGAGGCATTTTCAGCTGCCATCAAGAAATTAGATTCAAGTTCAGTGCGGCCTAAGCTCCAGTTTGTGGGCAGTTGTCGCAATAAATCAGATGAAGAAAGACTCCAGAGTTTGAAAAACAAGGCTATTGAACTGAAGGTTGACGAGGATGTGGAATTCTACAAGAATTTAATGTACAGGTCAGTGCCTCTGGAGAAAAGTTTCCTTTAGTACTGTTGTAGTGTAGGAAAGGTTCCCCATTACTGGCCTCTGGTGTTCCTCGTAATATGGCTATTAATCTGCATGATTAGGGTGTGGAGTTCAAAATATTCTTTGTTAAATTTGGGGAGTAATTCATTGTCAGTTACATACTTTTTTGTACCATCTTGAAATGAAAGGTACAAAGAAGTTTGGTTAGCCAGCCAACTGCCAATATGAAAAGCCCATGAAACAAGATAACCCCCATACAAGAAAACTTTGAAAGGTAACTTTCAACCTAGGATCTAAACACTCCCTAGTAAAAGCCTATCCATATATGACAACTATAAACTTCGTCCTAGACTCTTGTGCCACTGGAACATCTCATGATTAAATGAATTCTACCTCAAATTCCAAATATTTCCTTTGTCCCTGACTGTTACCCATTACGACCTTTCGTCATTGCTGCTTTATGGTACACTAGCTCCATTGGTTACAGCACCGCCGTAATTCCTGATTTGGGCTTTTTACTGTATCTTAAACTGCAAACTGCGAACCTTTTCTGTTTTCTATATAAACTCTGAAACTCTTGGACTCATGCAGAGACTTGGTGGGACTTCTAGGAGGTGCTGTGGCGGGAATTCATTCTATGACAGATGAACATTTTGGAATAAGCGTGGTAGAATACATGGCTGCAGGAGCAATCCCAATTGGTGGGAGACTTTTTTTTTTATATTTCTTTTGGTTCAGAGATCTTCACTGAATGTTTTTACAGGTGTATTAATGTGAGGCTCATATTTCTACTTTACTTTCAGCTCATAACTCTGCTGGACCAAAGATGGACATAGTTCTCGAAGAGGACGAACAACAAACTGGATTCCTTGCCACCAATGTGAATGAATATGCAGATGCTATTCTACAGGTTGTAAGAATGCCAGAAACTGAGAGGCTCAAAATGGCTGCTGCGGCAAGGAGGCGTGCAGAGAGATTTTCTGAGAAGAAGTTTTATGAAGATTTCAAGGCAGCAATCCAACCAATTCTAGGCTCAAGTTCGAGGTGAGGAGCGAGTATTTGCACGAACACTGTAAATGATCTGCTTCGTTATAGGAGTTTCCGAAGTCTAAACAAGGTAGGAGGATTCCTGTATGGTTGTTCTCTCCTGGTAATGTGATAAACTCTGATTTCTCAAATTTTGGTTTAGAAACTCCATCTCCCATTGTACCATGGACTCCCAACAATTAGGAAAGGAAGTCTTAAAATGACATCATCGACCATCGAGTTAGCTGGTCGAGAAGAAGTTTTCTATTTTCAAAATCAACTCTGGTTTGCATGACTGAGTTATCTTGATAACTACATAAAGTAAGGTTAGATTGTCTTGTGAGATCGGTCGTAGTGTACTAAAACTCACTTGGACCCTGGGCGGATATCAAAAAAAAAATCAAATACATGCTTTTCTCCTATTAGTCCAATGACATCATCGACCATCTCATTCTCGGCTCTCTGTCTCCCTCTTAGCCATGCCGACTCCTTCGTCCATTCGCCAACATCCTACTTCTCTGTCTCTCTCTCAGATTGACCAACAACCGCCATTGCAAGTAAGGTCATCTCGGCATCTCCCTCGGCCACCTACATACCAGGAAAGAAACGTTGTGATTCCAAATCAAATTTGAAGATATTGGAATTTATATGGTGTGTATACAATTTTTCTCCATCTCGTCATTGCAACGATAGGATTTTCATCAATTTTTCTGCAATGAATTGAGATTTTAAAAATGAGAATCGAGAACCCAGCCGAGGAAAAACCAAACTGTCGGTTTTGTCTTTCACTCGATATTGGTTCAGTCCGGTTCTCGATTTTTTTTTCCCTAAAATCGAGCCGATATTATCAAGCTCAGACCAGGATTGTGATACACGCGCCAAAATGCAGCGTGAACGGGGAAAACCCTGATCCTCTTGATTCTGATTACAGGCCATCCACCATTTTACCCATAAGAATATCAAAAAAGAGAGAATCATCGGCCATTGGAGGAGCTGCCCTCCTCTCTGAATCCTCCTCTATGGTTGAGCCTTGAACCCTACTCACAAATATGGCAGTTTCTCTGAATCTTCTCACCGGCTTCAACTCAACGGTATCGATCTCTTTACCCTCTTCAATATCTATGGAGGAATCTCTCTTCTTTGAACTTCGAATGTGTAATTTCTTCTTGTAATTTTCTCTTTTCGAGTTCTGCATTCCATTATCGTTATTGTTTGTTTTGAATTTCTCTGCTCGAAAGTGTGTTTTACGATTTGTTTGGGAGAGAATCAATTACTTCCCTTGCCGCGATTTTGTTTGGAATTGGATGATAAATCGACCTAAACTCGAATATCAGTGAGAGTCGAAGAATTCAGTGTTCGGCGTAGTGTTTCTGGTTCTGTGCTTTAGGTTTGTTCGAGTTCAACACGATAATTCGAACTCCCATACTCTAGGAAAGAAAAGGAACTGGTCGCTGCTTTTTGAGAAATTCGAAGGTTTGAAATGAAATATTCCCTTTCTTAGAATCTTCAATTTCTATCTTCTTTTTGGCGGACCTCTTTTTTCCTTTTGGCCCAAAGTTTATAAACATTTACTGAATGATTGCACAAGAGCTTTGAAACCTCGGGAGTGCAAATCTTTATACTGCAAGCTTTGTTTACTACCATCTGTGATATTATATAACTATGATGAGCTTGAGGATTCCTCGTCTTGATTGAGATGTTGTAGAGAGAACGGCCAAATCATGGAATTAGGATCCGAGAACTCCATCATTAGAACATTAAAGGAAACTCTCTCTGGAAATAAGTGAGGTGCCTCACTTTAGAATTGGCAGCACCGGAGCATTATCCTGAGGTGAAAGGGAAAATTGCAAGGAAAAGTTGATTTCTCAGCTTAGTTCTATTGGCCCTTTCAATTTCAAATCAATACACTCAATGGTTGCATGAAACAGATTCATCGTTGCTGTCTTTGAACAGCTAGTGATCTGTAGAGATTATGTCATCTTTCATTGCTATGATAAACTAGGAAGGGCATCTGGATTTCAAGCCTCAAGTTTCTGTAAGACTATATTCAGGAGAAAGGAGCCATAAAAACAACCTAGGGGCCACGGTAGAAGAAACCCAGTCGTAAAAGTTATCAAAGAAGATCCTTCCAAGCTTTAAGTTCGATCAGTATGATGGTTAACCCAAGCATAGTTAGCTAGTTAAAGAATATACTTTCGACCAAGAGGTTAAAGGTTTGGACCTAAACAAAAAGTTTGACTCGTTTTTCATACTTATTTGGCTTAGAAAATCAAGTACCGAACATTCATTTGAATTGTCACTGGGTCCATCTGATTCCTTGAAGCTTCCTCTCATGCCTATTCATTTCTCTTTGTTCAGCTACATCCAATTTGATCTTGGTGAATGTAGCTTCCTTAATTATGTCTATTGATATTCACCAGAAGTTGCAAGCCACTTACGAGAACATTTCAAGATCCACATTTCCGAAGGTCAGCAAATCGACATCCTTGTATGCCACGTATGGCACAACAAGAGGAATTGCAAAGGAGAGAAGACAAAGACTGTCTCGCTCACTTGCAGCTACAGGAAGCAACCAGGTAGACACGGACACCAATGAGAAGAGTGCTGGAATTACTGGAAGAACTCCTTCTGATAACATTTCCTCAGCTGTGAATCAATCGCCTTCAGATGAGAATAGAAATCCTCAACTAATTGTTAACAATGAGGAGTCTTCTTCTCAATCGTCTGAAGTTTCCAATGAACAAGTAATGTCTTCAGATGCAAGTTCATCTCCTGATCCACAATCCACAAGAAAATCTCCTCTAACTGCAAGAGAAAGACTAAGGGCAGCCCGTGTTCTTAGCCGTTACAACGATTCAAAGACCACCAAATCAGACATGGGCAGCAAAGTATTGGAAGCGTTACGAGAGAGTGATCGTGGTAAGAAAAGGTCGAGGCTTCCCGAAGCGCCTACTAATTTGTTTGACGACAGCAAGCGAGGGATGCCAAAAGCAGGCTTGACTTTTCAGTTCCCTGGGGGTTCAGATCTGTTCGTCATTGCCTTCTCGTTCGTTTTCATTAGCTCAGTAATGTTTGCTACCACTTACATTGTGTGGAAAGTTGGTGCAATCCATTTTAATGAGTATTGAAGTGTTCTGCAAGGAGGTTAGTTCATTCTCTCTTTTAAAGCTGCCACTTGCTACAAATAGTTCTTTGATCTCCCTCTATAATGAAACACTTGGATGCTCATATTTTGCTAGATTCCTGTCTTTAATGTTTTCATAGTCTTCAATGTATAGTAGCTTTTCGCTCATTTTGATTTCTGTAGTTTTGTTCGAGTTCTTAAACAAGAAACTACAATTGAAGTTCATCTTTGTGGATTCATTTAATTTCATTTGGAAAAACATCATCGTACTGGGATGCCCGGATCTGACATGTGGCTTGCTTGGTAGGAGTAACATGGTAATTTGGCCTTTTAAACTTTTCAAAATGTTGTTAAATTGTGTAAAAATTTATACAAAAGCTTCAAAAAAAAAAAAAAATCTATTCTTTTAACTGTGAAATTTGTTCCATAAATATCCGTACCTCTCCAACTCGGTTTCACAATTCCATTGCTTGAACCTATTCTCTTCTTCTCGAGCTACTTACTCCTTCTCGTTTGGGTATTTAGAGAGTAATGTTCGGGGTTTGAATATTTTCGTAAAAATCATCCCACTTGAAAATGTGAACTCGAGGTGGGGGTTCAATCTTGTCAGTCTCCCAGATTCCAATCATGTCTCTCTCTTCTTCTCCAAGAGAATGTTGAATGTCAACCCCACATCTATCTCTTCATCCATTGGAATGGAGTGATGATTCACGAGCTCGGTGGTCTTTTGCTTTAGCTCTTCAGCTCGAGCCTAAAAAAGGTTCATTCCCTCCCCCCCTCCTCCCTCGATACTCCTTGAAAAACATTAGTCAAGGATCGACAATAGCTAAGCATTGTGGGCATCACAGTTTAAGTTACGTATGGTTGACGCACAACCTACAAACTTCTTAGCCAAAAGAAGGAAAAAAACTAATGAAAAGGATGCCATGCCTCTAATCTACAGCTTTAGTTTAATCTTAGACGGAGAGCAAGGAGAATATGAAGCAAGGTTGGGTAGACCATGATTCCAACTAGAGTGATTCATGACTAGGATAATAAAAACAGTCCCAAAACACGCCCAGCAATTGGAAGCCGTTTTCAATGACAAGGTCGAAAAATTGATATTGCTGTCCATCTTTTATCTTCCCATTCCCCACTTTCCATATTTCTTTTTAGAGTTTATTTATTTATTTTTTTTTTTTTTTTTGTGGCTAAATTAAGAAAATATACGAGAGTTCTGTGTGAAAGTGAAAAAAAATGGAAATAACCTTAAAAAGGAGGTGTTGATGTAAAAAAAACATTAAAAATAATTCCGGTGTTCGCCTTATATAATTTTTTTTTCTATTTTATTTTTAAATGTATGTATGTATATTAGAAGTTATATAAAAATATATTTTAAAATTTTAAAAAGCATATTTTTTTTTTCAGAAAAAAAAAATGTTTTCAATCCTGTTTAGAAATTATCTTATAAAACAAGTTTTCTACGTAAAGGTTTTTTTTTTCAGATAAAAGCTGTTCTTAGAACCTAACTTCCAACCATATATTTACATTTTAATGCTATTTTATGACCCAAAAAAATGTTTGTAACTCAAAAAGAATAAAATATTAGATATTATATATATACACATTTTTGAAAATGGAATAGTATGAATCTCGGCCTAATATATAATAGTTAAAATAACAATTAATCGATTCTAATTATCATCAATCCAAAATTTAAGTATAATACAAACACCACTATATTATGTACTCAGATAAACATCGAGGTCAAAGATTCTTCTACCCGAATAAGAAAGTAACTAAAAAAGAGTGATCCAACTAATTAGTTACCACTACCCAACTATTTGTTTAAAGTCATAACCACCAACACCTAACCAATCACTAAACTAGGAAAACATTTGCAATTGTACTCACTTAGGTATGCCTTAATACATTCCCTTTATCCATTCATTTTCTAACATAATTTTCTTCCTAATTTTCATTTTTAGACTTAAAATTCGACATCCGGTACGTTCCAATTATCAAAATGATTGATATATAAAATTCTAAGACATTGGCGTAAAATATAAACCCTTCAAGTCAATTTAAATCTCTAGGTATTCTCAAAAAGCGAGGTTTGATAACTATTATATTCTTAGTTTTTTTATGTTTAAAAACTAAACCATTCCTAAAAAAAAATGAAATTCATATATTTTTTCTTTTTTCTTATTTTGTTCGAGTAAAAATTGAGTTTTATTTAAAGTTTGGTGAAAAAGAAAATTCGCCAAACTCAACTATTGTTGCGTTGGAGGAAAAAAGCGTTTAAATTTGGATTGTAGATAGTAGAATATAAGAACATAGAAAGTTGTTAGGAAGCGTCTAAGAAATCCACGCGTGTGTTATCGAACCTTATTATTTATGTAACGGATACCCGTTGCGTCCTTCCGTTACTTGCCCCTCATCCAATTCACTCGTTCCACCTACTCCTCTTCTCATCCCATCTTATATTTTAACCTATTTTCATTTTACTCCCTAAATAATCAGACTTTTCCCATATTCGTCCCTCTTTTCAAAATTCAAACTATTGAAATAAATAATTTAAAATTGAGGGATGAATTGGAAATAAATCTGGAAGAAGTGAGGACAGAGATGGAAATATAATAATTTGAATGGAAATTTAAAAAAATAATAATAATAATAATAATAAATTAAAGGGGGCAAACAAAACGCGTTTAGTTTGTTGTTGTTTTTGTTGTTACAAGTTCCGAGTAGTGACAAAGCCGTTATTTGAAGTAGCGGTTTTACGGTTCATGCCCAACAACCCTCTTTCCGAAACGGTTACCAAATCAACGCCCCATTTATTTCTCGTCTTCTTCGAACTCAAAAACAAAAAATCCTTCAAAACCCTAACTCTCTAATGAATCAAAATCTCCTTTCTTCCTATCCACGAAAGCGATGGTTCTAATCGGAATTCCCCTCTCAAATCGAAGCAGCAACAGTAACAGTGTTCGAATTAAAGGATCGTGGAGTCCTCAAGAGGACGCTACCTTAATCAAATTGGTGGAGGAACACGGCCCGAGAAATTGGTCTTTGATCAGTACTGGAATTCCTGGTCGCTCTGGCAAGTCCTGCCGTTTGCGCTGGTGTAATCAGCTCAGTCCGGCGGTTCAGCACCGTCCGTTCACGCCGGCGGAGGACTCTCTGATTGTTCAGGCGCACGCCGTCCACGGTAACAAGTGGTCCACGATTGCTCGCCTCTTGCCTGGACGGACCGACAATGCGATTAAGAATCACTGGAACTCGACGCTCAAGCGCCGCCGCGATGCCGATTTTTCTTCCGATTCCACGGCGTTTATGAAGCGGCCGAGTTGTGAAGTTTTGAGATCGGCGTCGGATGATGATGATTCGGAAGGATCGTTCAAACGGAGGTGCTTTGGAATGGCTGTGGAGAGGAACGGCGGAGGAGAAGGAGAGGGAGAAGGACCGGAGACGTCGCTGAGGCTGTCATTGCCCGGGGAGGTGGTGGTGCCGGCGGCGTGTGTCAAGGTGAAAGAGGAGGTGACAGTGGATAGCGAGGAGAACGATGGACGGCGTCATGTGGCGGTGGCGGCGACGGCGGAGGAGAAAGGGAACCGGAAAAGGGAAATGGACGAGAGTTGTATGGCAACGATAATGCAGAGGATGATTGCTCGGGAGGTCCGAAATTACATAGACAGTTTACGGGCCCATGGTGGGCTTTCAATTGGGCCGAATATTGGGTCTGGGCTGGATTCAGGAGTCCAAGATACTGAGTAATTTCCCTTTCTATGTTCTTAGAAAAATCAAAGTTATGGACTAGATAGAAATTTAGATTAAATGGGTTTGTTTGAATTTAAAATATTTAATTTTTTTAAAAAAATTCAACATGGGGAAGAAAATCAACCAAAGTATGTGGGGAGCTGTTTGTTTGATTACCTGTTGATTCAAATATGAGGTTTTTGGAATTGGTTGGTTTTAATTGGCATTAGAGTTTGCTTGGAACTATCATTTTGGTCATTCTTCTCGCAATGACTCTTGTTGTGTAAACACAAAAGTATTATCTATATATTATGTCTTGTTGGTTTCTATTGATGTTGTTGAGTTAGTCCTGACAACCTATATGCTGCTGATCATATTAAGAAAAAAATTTAAACATGTCAAATAGTCAAATTGAAGTTGCTGACATGTATTAGAAGACACAAATTCAGAAGTTTATTGCATGTTTGAATTATTTCGCTGCGGAAGAAGAAAGAAGATTGTGATTCAGCCCACTTGGTTGGTTTGAAGTCAGAAATGGCGTCAGTTGAGTGTTTCGAATGGGAAAACGTCGAAGCCAGTGCTGCCATACCGGGGCCGCGCCCTTGCTAGATCATGCCACTGCTCATTCTGCGACTTCAGTGAGTTGTTAGTTAGAAGGAAGGGGGTGGTGATGAGGGTATCTGCGTCAGAGAAATGAGGACAATTTGATGATCATAACAGTGGTGTCGTCCACTGAGCCTCGTGATGTTGACAAGGCGGCTAGCTCTTTGCAGGCTGCGAATAGCTTTGGCTTCTCCATCTCTACGCCGCAAAGGCTCTGTACTATGTCTACTGCTTCCTGATTTTTAACCTGAAAATCGAAAGTTGTTTTAGAAACCTGATTGTCGTTGAGTGTATGTTGTATGATCAATTCAAAACTGGAGAGTTGAAATCATCATGAAGCTCACCTTGTCCCAAAATCCATCAGAAGCAAGGATCAAGAAATCACAATCGTCCTCAATCTTCACCATTCTTGTCTCTGGTTCCGATATCACCCACTGTTTCAGATGATCGTCTCCAATGGCTCGCGATACAGCTAATGTTCCTTGAACTCTCCACGCACCACGGCAATAGTCTATGTAACCGCCCTACACATACACAACACGCAAATTAAGAACGAGCTCTCCATCAATTTTATCCACCAACAAGAGCTTCCGATTCTTACCGAATTTTCGATCCGGTTTCTCTCGTCTTCTCTGCACGGGCGGTGGTCGGAGGTTAGGGCTTCGGCTTTTCCCCTTCGGCTCAACACGGCACGACAATCGCCGACGTTTGAGACTGCGAGATTTCCGTTCCGAATCAATGCGGCCACGCAACAGGCTCCGCCACTGACGCCTTCCTCTGATACTTCCCGATCGGTGGTGAGATAGCCGTCTTTGATTGCTTCCTCAAGTTCCGAATCTGTTCTTCTCATCACCTGATCGATCACATTCTCACTCATTCTTTTCGCTGCGATTTC